GCCATCCGAATTTCTCAGCAGGTAAGGATAAGCTTTTCAAAAAAAAACACTGTCATGAGCTCTCATGTTCTAGCATTTTATCGAAATAGAAAAACTATTAATGAATCAATTTAGTAATATACATTTTGTAAGTCTACTATCATAATGAACTATCTTTTGATGCTAAAATCGCAAGTTCGGTCAAAGAGTATGCTGAGAGAATATACAAAAACAGTGATAAGATTTTGATTCAACTCTATTCTGTTGTATATTTCTATTCGTTTATCTTTATCACATCATACATAAATATGTGACTTTTACATGTTTCAACTTATTGGAGGTATATTTGAAAAGCTTTTTTTCAATAGTTTTCGCCATTAATTACCGAAATGCATTGCTTACTTTTAGAAAAAAAATACTAAATATGTAGAACACAATATTCCATCAATTAATAAAGAAGCTTGCCAATATGACTCCATGGATTTTTATTGTCTAAAACCAAATCAGACGACTCCTAATCTTAGTTAACTGCATACTACATGGCCACAGAGTCGTGGCTATCGAATGTACTATCCTGGGTACTTATTAGGAGATCTTTCTTTATTAGATGAATGTATCAGACGAGATCTTTTTTTTATTCAAAATACTTCGTGTACCAGTGTCCGACATGGGTCAATTTTTAGTGACCCAACTCGGCCCAAGCTCAACAAAACTGGATCCGACCCGAGATTGAAGATACTTTTTGTCAAGAAAAACGAGTTTTTTTCACAGTCTGTTTGTCTTATAAAAACTTCGAAATCAGTCAACTGTTAGTGACTCGACCCAACCCGATCATGCCGTGACCCGATCCGAGTTGGACACTGTCGTGTACACATGGTTATCGTGTTTTGTCATCAAATTGCAATATTTTTTTTATTATAAATGTGAATAAGCACTCAAAATGAAAAAGAAATAAACATATACAAAAAAAAGACGATAAACAAAGACACATTTGAAAAAAAAGGATGTGTACAAAGAAATGAAACATGAATAATTATTTTGATTGTATCATTTACACAGACGCTTTTCGTTACTTTGTATCTCTTTTCTTTTACACTTCGACAGCACTCATATCATCAGATGGAGCTCGTCCAAAGCATTTGCTTCTTAATGTGTAGAGTCGTTTCATTAATATCCTTACTAAACTTTCATCTTCTACTTGAATCTCGTTTTTCTTATTATTTTCATGTAGTACAATACATCTATTGTCTATATCATATGTAATAGCAATAGAATTAGCTTTCGCATTTCGATAAATATGATCAATAAATTGAGTGTTCTCCGTTTGTACATAAACTCTACATAAATCATAGGGTGAAGCTCTCTTTATAGCAACACTTTTGATATAACTATTTATAGCTTCATCATCGAAATACGATATAGAATCAGGATCAATGTTTAAGGCTACACTATCATAATCTAGCAGGGAAAACTGAAATGACTTTTCACTGAAAAGTCCAAATAATTCGCTCTTTACCAATTCTTTCATATTAACATTATCATCATTCTTTGCAATTTCAAATAATCTATTTAAATTTTTAGCGGAATGTAAATTCCAACAAAAATAGCAAAATGCATATGCACTCTCATTCGTAAAATTACTTTTCATATGTTTAATAAATTGCTCTAAAATATCAGAAGTCTTCATTTTAGAGCCCACAGCTTGCAATAATTTTGCTGCTCTACTACGAGTCTCTGGGACTTCATATAAACTTAATATCCAATGCAATATTTTTGGATCTGATGTATAGGACCATATTGAAATGAATAAACTATAACAGCATCCAGGAAAAACTACATAATCATTAGGGTATAGTGGTATGGAATGTTGTTTGATAATAGTGAGTAATTCTTCTGCAATATCTAAACCAGCAGCAGTTTCTTCGAATATTTCTAATGTTTTGATAATCAAAGTTTTTTTCTCGTCGCTTTGATTACTTCGCAAAATTTGCAACAATCGATGTAGAAAATTGTCAGTAACTCTATTTAATTTATATAAAACATTAGCAGCATCATGGATAGCCTTTGTATCTTTCATGTTAATAATAACATCTTCAATAGATGTTAAGTCAACATCATTTTCCATTTTTTCAAAAAAGTTCTTAATCAAATCTATATGTACTGTTTCGCCCTGATAGTAAAAACACCAGTGGGATTTACCTAAGAGCATATTCATTGTCTCATATTCAAATATTCTTTTTTCTTCTAAACTAGGAAGTATAGTTATAGCTTCCAGAACAATATATTTGTCCGATTCATTACGAATAATATCTCGTATTTTGAATAAAACTTTTTCTTGTTGCTTGGTCTTATTTTTCAATATATCAAAGTATTTTAAGAGAGCATATTTTTGTTTTAGATGAAATAGATCAAAATTTTCTAGATGATCTAATATTTCAATATAAACATTTAATAGTTGATCAATAGTCTCTGTATCTATCACGTTCAAATAATCTTTAGTTTTGCATATGCAATCACCAATTAACAATGCTAAACTTATTTTTGATGATGATAATCTTTCTTGTTCAAGAAATTTTTCATTAAACAATTGAAATATTTCGCTTTTCACACCATCTCGCTTAATCTGAAAGCTTAGAAAAATATACAAAGCCTCTCTAATTTGATCTTCTTCTACATTAATAATTTGAGAGAGCAATGTAGTTTCGTCAATATGATCGTAACAATTAAATATGTAACTTTGATTTTGACCATCAGGGTTAATATATATGGTCACTATTTTCAATAGAAGAGCTGCTTCTAAGGCCAATTCGGGATCTTCAGAACGCAAAAACTTTAAAAGAAAATTTTCAAATAAGTTCTTTAATGTTTCATTAAGACTATTTAGTATTGAAGGGTCGAATGTAAATGCATCTCCACGAATAATAGACCTTTTGAATACATTGAACTGTCTAAAATTTCTCTTACAAAGTATAATTGTAAGTTTGCATATCATATTAGCGATGTCTACAGAAGGAATTTCTGAAAGTTGATTCATTGCTTTTGCTGCTTCTTCTAAAGAATAGGGCATAGAATCTATAATATTATCTATCCACCAGCCAATAGCAGAAATAAACTGTTCTTCCCATTTCTTATCGGTACTACGCACAAATTCTCGAATGATATTAACACTTGTTGAACTGGCGATTAGATTGCAAATTGTGCCACATACGGTCAATGAGTATGGGTCTTCTAGCATAGAAAATGCTTTAATTAATACATTAGGAGAACAATTTTTAAGGTTATCGATAGTAAATAGTGCTCTGTATTTCAGATTATCATTATCAATGAAATGTTTCAAAAAAATATTTTCAATTATTTTTTCACATAAAATACCATAACTTCTTCCTAACAAACGATAAACATTTTCATCTATGTGTAAATTCGGTTGAGACAAATAGTTTATTAACGTTTCTAAATATCGACCAATATGATCTAATATTCTGTCTGCAAGTTTTCGATGTTCTTTTCTATTAATTTCTTCTAAACATCCTATCAAGACTATCAAATGTCTGACACCAACAAGATCTTGTGGTTCATCTTCAATTAAATCAAAGAATGTTTCAACATAATTTTCAGTTAAAAGACCTGCAGTAAATGTCATCATTAATTGATAATGAGGATTATATTTATATTTTTTTAGAAAGATTTTCGCCTCATTAGAATAACTTTCTAACCATCTTCTTAGATATCTTGCAGCTAAAAACTCTTGAAAGCTGAGATGAATAAAATAATAATCTTTTTCTTCATCAATTATTTTATCACTATCTAAAGCTACTAATAGACCAACATTTATAACATTTAATCTTAAGTCATCTTCATTCTTACTTCCTTTACAATCTTCTACTTCTTTTCTAATAATTTTATAATCAATCATTAAACTACTGGTTTTCATACAACTAAAAGCAATTTTTTCTAAAACGATAAGTACAGTTTCACATTCTTTATAGATTGTCTTATTACTTTTACTATTCGTTACTTCATCACCTAATATTTTTGATAAATATTTTCTTAAAATCCATGTCATCATATCGTCATATAAAGCAGTCATTGTTGTTATTTGGTCTAATTCTTTTCTATCATGTTCATTCCATAAGGTACATACTATTTCTAGAGTTATTGGAATATGTGAAATACCCCATATATTTAATGCCGATTGTAAAAATGATATTAATCTTGTGCCTTCATTTGATTTTGTTTTAAAAAACTTGTTAATGTAATCATGAATATTTTCATCAGTAAATCCGGTTATTTCGAGATATACATCGTACGGATATGGAACTGTTGTTGTCGGACGTGATGTTAAAATTTCTATTTGTTTATCCAAGACTAAGAAAAGAAATTAATAAAATTATCAAGAAACTTCGAGCAAAATTCTAGTAGTAATATGTATCTTACGTTCTCTCATAAACCAATCCAAATGGTCAGGAACGCGCAATTCATCATAACCATCTAAAAGCCATAATACATTGCTTGCATCGTCAAGCATATGCTTGAGAACATTTCTTTCTTCATGATTTTCTAATGGATAGGTTCGAAAACATTCTCGTTCAATTATATCAGTTAAGCTGTATGATTCTGATGAACGTAATGGATACAGTTTTGAAGTTAAATTTCTTAATCGAATATAAATTAAACATTTAAACTGTTGAAATAATTCATCTTTGCTCCATTTATATGCAATATATTGACAAAATGTTGTCTTTCCAATGCCGGGAGGACCCAAAACTAAAACACGTTTCGTCAGTTTATCTTTGCATTTATCGAAGAGTTCTGCAATTTTTACTAGAAATAAACGAATAGCCATCAAAAACTTTAGTTTAAATATATTTTACTAAAACAGTAGCTGGACAATAAGTGCCAACCATATAATCGAATTATAAATCCGAATATATCTTTTCATTCTATAAACAACTTATACTTTCTGGTACAGAGAGTAAAGTAGCGATGATGATTCTAAACATTACTAAGACAGATACAAGTGAGACAGGTTTTCAATTATTTGAATGGTCTGAAGACTCCAGTAGTTGTATAGTTGTACTTCAGAATATTTTTCATCGTTCAATCGAAAACCGTTCAGTTCAAGTGTTTGCATGATGACGAGTAGAGGTGTAAGCCGTACAGCTGGGTCGCCGCCGCCACGGAATTGTAGATAATTTTAAGAATTTTTTAGGAGCTGCCGCTGTTTGATTCTTCGCCTTACACCTCTAATGACGAATTATATTCTTTGTCAATCATCAGTGTATTACAATATAATTTTTTACAATAAGATATTTTCAATTTCATAATGGTTCATTTGCTTCAAGTCGAGATGAAAGCATAATTGTCATTGACAGAATGAAAAGATACATTAGAATTTTGTAATCCGAACATAGTATTACAATGAATTGCTCTAGTATCAATAAAACTAACTCGATATTTTTGATCCATATATTAATTCATATGTACTATAATCAAATTCACTCTGTTTAGAAATGTTAGATTCTTTCTGTTCTTTGTGAATAATAGCTAAATTGATATAATTTTCTTCATCAATTGGTACAAATGTATTTGTCATTAATCGTTTTATTTTGCCATATTTAGATGTATATTCATGTTTTAATTTCTTGATAATTCGTAACTTTTGTTCATCAATGATATTTTGTGATGATGAAGAATGAACATTAGTTAATGCGGCAACAATTTCCTTGTGACCTTTAATTACTGTATCAATTTTTTCTTCTATTACAGTTACTTTATTATTGACATCAATAAGAATACCGAACGCTGCGTCACCACCAGCTCTATCAATTTCCTTATCAAGTCGTTCTAAATCTGTTTTAATCGATTTATAACAACGATAAATTCTTGATTTTTGCCAGAAACGTGAAAATTTATTTGGACCGGTACATATACAAGAGTTTTGGGTATTTACTAGCGGCACTTGCGAAACTTCTTCAGTATTTCTAACGACTGTAGACTCATCTTGTAATGGATCTTCGACAGGTACTATTGCATCATTTTTAGCTACAAGAGAACGATGCTGGTCTTTTTCTTTGCTAAATAAAGAGATGTATTGATCTTTTTTGAATTGCAATGCATATTCATAAGCTTTTTCAAGAACACCTAAAAGTAAAACAAGTACAATTGTTTATCAATACAAATATGTAAATATTTTCAGAAAACTCAGTTAGATTCGAACTCTTCATCTTGCGTCTTCTTCATGCACATTCGTCCTCTTTATTAGATTATGATATTTAACTAGTCGAATCTTGAGGGGTTTTATATATCCAGTACATGGAGGATATATAGGGAGATACGAGAAATACCACACGAACTATAAACTGACAATTTCATTATAACAGGCATATGCATCACATCGGCATATATCTTGGAGAGAGACACCGTACCTCCAAGCATATCCCCACAAAAGATTGTGCATCTATGCTCAAGATTTCATAAATCTCATCAGATTGAGCCAGTTATAATATGTGGCTGTACGTGTATTTCAGTATGTGCTCGCACTCCATTTCCTGAATATGTGACACTGCTACAAATCTTTAACTATTCTCGTATTATTATTGGGTTGTGCCATAGATTCTGACATTTTTTTAAATATTTTTAGGCAAATTTAAGGTTTTCCATCTCTTTTTAGTCACAAGATAGAAAAGCTTAAATTTGCCTAAAAAAAACACAAACAACTTTTCAGAACTAATGTTACAACTAAATATTTGCTAACTTACGTTGCATATGATCTAATAAATGTCCATCATCTCTTGTGCAATTTTCAATAATTTTTTGAAAACGTTCAACTCGTTTGATTAATTGTTTTGCATGTTGTTTATTTTCTTCAACTGTGTCGATAAACTCTATAATTGTTGTTATAACAGTATATAATGTTGCAACAACTGATCCAGTGGTTGCAATAACTGATATAGGATCGACCATAGTTTAACAACAGTTTCTAGAAAAAGAGAACATTCACGCCGTTGACGTAGTTAAAAACGTCTTTTCGAATGTCATCCTTCGAAACGGAGTGATTATTTTCTTTCATAGAGTCTTTACAATGCAGCTGTGAATACTCAAAAGAATAAACTCTTCTCCAAAGAGTAAAATGCTATGCTATTAGAGTACGTCCCGGTAGATTGTTAAGTTTTTGATTGTTTCATTTGTCAAAAGTACATTATTAACTTGGGTTAGCCATTGAAAACTATAAGCATCAACATCAACTGCAAGAAAGAAATTGAAAGAATGTGAAGGTGTAGCTGTGAATGAGAGTGTGAGCCTACTCTTAAAACACAGCCGTACTCATATTTTTAAGAGAAACGAAATTGAAAAATAATGAACGAATAGCAATAATGCCAAAAAAACATTGGGCATTCGAAAAACTTCTTTTTCAAAATGTAGACATAATTAAGACAGATCCTACCTCTATGAATATATTATTTTGGAAAACAACAAAGATCTAAGAGGCATTTTTCGCTGTACGTATTTTGTATTAGTTTAATGAGATTAAAGGATGTATGTGAGTTCAACATATCAGTCCCTAAAGGACTGCGCTAACAAGCTTTCATTTTCGATTTCTAATTTATGGATTTGATTTAATGAAGAAATAAGTTTTTCTCTATGGTTGGAAATACTTTGTCGATTCATAACTCTTATTGTCAACTATTGTGCGTTCTTATTTCGCACCAATCGATCTAAATCTGATATTTTCAATATAGGACTAAATAATAATATTTTGCACGAACTACAAATAATGAAATGATTTTAGAATTATTCATAGAATATTCCTCTGTTATCGACAAAAAGTTGATTCGATGCAACCTTCCATTGACTACAGATTTAAAACTCCGCCGAAATATAATTTACATAGATAAAAATAAAATAAAAAAGCTTGTTAGCGCAGCCCCTTTGGGTCTAAAATGTGGAACTCACATATGCTCTTCAGCTTCGTTATATTAATACGAAATACAGAGGGTGTAAAATCAAGAATTTTTTATTTTTCATTTTCTGACGGGCGCTCTATTTTTCGTTTTCATTGTTACTATTCAATCATTATTTTTTTTTCGTATTTTTTTTTTGCATTATTTTTTTAAATTTAATTCTATTATCATTGCAATCATTTATTCAACCGGTAAATATGCCTCTTACACATATACATTTAACCTACAGCAAGTATCAATGAACTATTATATATCTCGATCAAGTCACAACACTAGCACTGAGTGAGTTTTTTCAAATTAATAACTTGATCAATCGGTGATTTCTTATGATCGTTGACGTCTTAAATACATTTTTATGTGGACAAAAATCTGAAACTGAACTTACAGGAATACTAGTATACGAATGTTATTAATCTCAACTTTTCCACAATACTCTGGCTTATGCCAAAGTAGTCAAAATTTCTTCTCATTTTTTACACTGATTTTTTTTCTACTATTGCATTAAAAAAATTTTTACTTTTTTTTGTGGAGTTGCTATGGTCTGTAATGGTAGCCTGTCTGTAAGGGAAGGGGGGAGCCACAAAAACTCGAACTTAAAACTTACACTCACTATTTTCTTCGAAAACATATGTGAGTTCCACAAAATAACACAAAATGTTTGAAATGAACTGAGTTCATTATTTTGAATTTTGTTAATAATCAATGCATCAAATTCAATTTTCTATTTGTTTATTCATTAAGATATTTGCCTAGATTTGAATTATGTTCAATGAAAGTTTATATTCAGTTTATACTTTTAAATTTTCATTTATTGAAAATTCGAACTAATTTTTGTAATATGAATATCATTAGATCTTTATTTTACATGAATTGTATTTTCAACATTGATCTTTCTATTTCCTTTTGTGTACCCAAAAAGTAAGTACACTCTAGAATCGATCAGTGTGTACGTCTGTCCGTTTACACAATAAATTTTGAAAGAAGAGTCTGATCACGATGAAGTTTTCTATACAGTTTAGTCTCAACATTATCTCACAATGGAAGTGTATGACCTGTTGAGCGAAAAAGTTAAACATATTACAGTCAAAAGAAACTTTTCAGCAAGAAACTCACCAATTTATAATATGAGCTGTCCACGGCTTGTCTGGACAGAGATATTCAGTTTTTAAGTTATGAAGTATTTGCAAGGGGGAAAAAGTGGATTGTGTCTATTCAGACTACGGTGACAATCCATACAATCCAGACAAAACGATTACAATACAGCCGATACTCTATCGATACGTACGATACGCATGATATGTTGCAGATACCAAGAATACAAATTCATTTAATTGAGAAATTCAGAGTATGTAGGATAGATTTAATGCGACTATGGTGAGCCAGTGTTAATGAAGAATTTCAGTCAATGTCAAAGAGTTTATGATGCGGTTTTTTATTTATCAAAACATAAGCACATCGTTTTACGAGACGAAATAGATTTAACATAGCAGACATAACAATTCTAATGGCATAAGGTCAAATAATCTACACATTGAATGTTCATTCACTCTGTGAATAATATTTGACGAAGTCATGAGTTCTATGAGCCAATCCACATCACTAAATGCTGGACTTGTTATCAATCAAAGTCTTAGACTTTGCTTATTTGAAAATACTTCTAGAAAACAATTTTAAGAATGGCAATGCAACAACTACGAAAATATATCATTATATAGTTGAGGTATTTAAACATTTTTAGAATGGAATTATAAAAGCAACACTTAAATAATTATGTCTGAATGCATATCTCAACAAAAAATACATATGTTTAACTCGCAATGTTTCACATACATTTCAAGTTGATATGTCTATGGTACAATGATCAATTCAGATGAGAGATAACTAAATAAATTAATCAATACTACCAGGTATATAAGAAAAGGATCATCTTTAGATGTTTTGTGGATGCATGTATCGTAACTCGATTACGTTACAACGCGACAATTTTAGTCATGAAAAGAAGTTATTGAATACTTCTTGTGGTAAGGACATGGCTCTTTAGATAGTTCCTAGAACCCATAAAACTAATCAAAAAGTTATGATTTTGATCAATGACAAGGTTTTCAAAAGGATCTTCGAATGCGATATGATGGATTCATTTTCTGACCTCATAGAATTTTTTTCTTTTTAATGGCATAGTCTAGCTTGTTTTTATTGAAATGTGGTTTCGATCAGTACCTTCAAGAATTACTGACTAATTAAATTTTTTTAGAACCTCATTGTTCACCTTATTTCTTCAGAACACATGTTGGTTTCAATCTTTTTTACTGGACTTCATAAGGTATTTTCAAATCTTTTTCAGAAGTTCAAGTAATGAGACCTAAAGCTTTTTTAAAAATATTTCTATATAGTTCATAA